CAGACTATTCTAGTCATTTAAACCCTCCTTTGGTCTACCCAAATCAGTCTGATTCTACGAAGACTAATGTGAAGTAACCACACAGACCCCTCATGAGTCTTGAAAGGCTCAAAACTGTTGTTGCCACTTGTAGACTGTTGTCTTTCTTGATTGCGTCTTTCTGCCTCAAGGAGATAGTTCTTTCCTTCATCTCCGTCATCTGTAATGGATGCGTGGCCCTGAAGGTGCCTCTGTTTTGGCCTTCAGAACACTTGCAATAAAAATAAACTCTAGGGGCTTCTGTATGGTAGTGTAGGTTTTATCCTGTACTGTTTTCTTGGAACAAGAAATTCAAGTTTCTCCTTTTCTTTTACCATGATCATCCTGAGTTATTATTCATAATCCCCTAATTGTGATTAGATTGCTTAGTCTCTGAGGTGGGTATTTGGTATCATCTGTGTAATCTATTGAGGAATGAAATTCTTTCTCTAGTGGACTGAAGGAGATTTCCGCCAATGGATCTGCCAGATACTTGGCCCTTTTGTCTAGGTCCCTCTGCGATTGCTTCATGAACTCTGATGTGATCAAAGTTTCATCTCAATATAGAAAGGAACCTTTGGTTTCTCAGATGTAAGCAGGATCTTTGTAAACAGCCTGGGGGCAGAGAGTAAACCTAATGAGAAGGTTTTATATTGGACATGTTTCCCCAGATTGAAGACCCTTAAGTTCCTTTTAGATAGAGGATGAACAGGAATGTGGAAGTATGTCACTGTCAGGTCTAGAGATATCAAGATCCTTCCTCCAGTTTGCTAACAGGTTGCAATATATTCCTAGAATTGCCCCACCAGTTTATCTGGATATCAAGATCCTTCCTCCAGTTTGATGACAGGTAAAGGTAAAGGTAAAGGTTCCCCTTGACAATTTTTGTCCAGTCGTGTCTGACTCTAGGGGGCGGTGCTCATCCCCGTTTCCAAGCCATAGAGCCAGCGTTTTGTCCGAACACAATCTTCCGTGGTCACATGGCCAGTGCGACTTAGACACGGAACGCTGTTACCTTCCCACCGAGGTGGTCCCTATTAATCTACTTGCATTTGCATGCTTTCGAACCGCTAGGTTGGCGGGAGCTGGGACAAGCGATGGGCGCTCACTCCGTCACGTGGATTCGATCTTACAACTGCTTAGTCTTCTGACCCTGCAGCACAGGCTTCTGCGGTTTAGCCCACAGCACCACCACGTCCCTCCCAGTTTGCTGACAGGTTGCAATAAATTCCTAGAATTGCCCCACCAGTTTATCTGGCAAAATTTAAATATAGTTCACATCAGGAAGAGAAAGAGCAAAACAGACTGGTATAATGGTTAAGTCTGAATTTTTTTTACACTTGGTTGAACAATGATGTGTATCATGATCTCCAGGCATGGAACAAAAAGAGACAGTTTCATCAACAGTTTTTACAGTTTGTAGAGACTGGCTGAGTAAGTAGTAAAGCAAGGGACAGGCACCCTAAGGCATAGAAGCTCTGTCTTCGATATAGTCTAGCAAGCTGTAGATCTTCACAGTAGGAAGTGAATTCTAGCGTGAAAGTGCATTGACCTTCTTTCTGCAGGTTGTTTTCCAGAAATCAAAAGTTATATACAGAAGCTTTTGTAAACCATAAAATTATGTATCCAGACACTGGCATTAGATGTTTAGGATTTATTCTGTTTGAAGCTAGTAAGAATACCATATCATCATTATTTATTTACCTATGTGCAATTTTTATTCTGAACAGATAAAAGTTTTTTCTTCCTTCCTTAAAGTGCTAAGATCCTCAAGAGAGGCCTTTCTTCTTGGTCCTGCAACCATCACAGGTGTGTTTGATGAGAACACGGAAGAGGGCCTTATTACTTGCTGCTCCAAGTCTCTGGAACTCCCTCCCAAAGGAAGCTTGGCTTCTCCCATCATTCTTGTCCTTTTGCAAGCAGGTAAAGACCTTTCTCTTCAGGAAAGTGAATGGCTGCTGAGTTGGGTTTTTTTAAAATGAATTATTGTACCTCATTGCATTGAATGTGTTTTGGTATTGCTTATGTGTTTTCTTGGTATTGTATTAATTGATCCTTTTAGTATTGTATACTCACTGTTGTTAGCTTAGATACTGTCTTTTAATTATTGTAAGCCACCTTGGGTCCTTTTTAAGGAGAAAGGCGGGATAAAATATTTTTAAATAAAAAATATTTATATAAAATATATTTACCCCACTCTTTCTCCTTAAAAACAACCCAAGATGGCTTACATCATTAAAAGCTAAAAACAGTAAGTATATAAATAATTTTTAAAAAAAAATCAGACAAATACCGCACTAAAAGCAAAATTAGCACCAAAAACAGATTTGAAGCAACAAGGCATAACACTCCATTTAAAACCCCTCTCAGATAGCCAGTCACTAAGGGAGAGCCCATGTGAAGAGAAATATCTTCATCTGCAATGCAAAATGAGACGGTAATTGAAATATAAGCAATTATATTTCAATTACTGTCTTATTTTGTCATTAATTTTTTTCATCAATATTATATATTTTTATCAAATATTTAAAAGCATTGTGATATATTTGGTGCTCACAACTCGGAGACATCTTAAAAACTTCTACCACTGGAATGTAGAAGCCAAGCACAACAGATAATGCACAAGGACAGCACTAGCAGTAATGGCTCCCCTGCCCTCATATTAACCTGCCTCATGCATCTTCTTTGCTCTGTTGGTATGGTAGGTTGCTTGCTACTTGAAGAGAGGGAAAACAACCAGAAGCATGAAAGGTGGCAGCTTTGGAGTAGCCTCCACAGTCTAACACCATACATGGAGGGTCATCAGCAATAAGGCACCATGAGAGACGAGTAAAGGGCATCACCTGTGTAGTGGCACAGATGAATTTTCAAGCAATGCTTTCCATTGAGCTTTGGCTTAGATCAGTGGTTCTTAACCTTTGTTACACCATACATGGAGGGTCATCAGCAATAAGGCACCATGAGAGACGAGTAAAGGGCATCAGATAGTGTAGTGGCACAGATGAATTTTCAAGCCATGCTTTCCATTGAGCTTTGGCTTAGATGACTTCTCTGTGTAAGGCATGCATGATACATGTAGATGAGTCTGGGGCACACTAAAGGAGGGAAGGTGGATGCTGTGAATATCCCAGGCTTATACTTCACCACTTGAGATGATTTTAGTGCTGGTGATTTCACCAACCCGGAATGTATTAAGAATCACCTGAACATGTTTTAAATAAAATTAATTAATTAATTAATAGATTTGTTGTGTTTTATATTTTCTCTTTTTTATGTTTGAGAAAGTCCATTTTTATGTTTGAGAAAAAGTTTCAGTTCACCTGTGTTCTCTTCACAAACAAATAACCCGTGTATAGGAAGCATGCTATCTAGAAAGTATGGCGATTGAGTCAGCCATGCTGGCTCTTCACCCTTCCACTTTCCTCTTCACTTCAACCTATACAGCAGTCATTGCCAAAGCTAGAAGACCCCATAGTTGATGTTTATGTATAGTTGTTGGAAGGAAGTATCATTTAGTGGACTTAGACTTAGGTAAGCAAGGGTTTGTAGTTATTGTTGTTTTTCCTCTTTAAAGGACCAAAGGGCGGAGCTTGCCTCTTTTGTTTAATTGGAATTAAGACACAAAGAGGGTGTCCATGTTTTGAGTGACTATATTTGTCGGGAGACCAGATGAAAAAACAGATAGCTTGCATTAAAAGCTGCACTTGCAGTAATTTTCTTTTCGAAGCTACTATTAAATGAATAAGGAACACTGCCCTCTTTACTTTTTTTTCCTTTCTAGATCTGTGGCCAGAATATCTGGGAGGGGACAGAGCTTCATCATATTTTTTCCTTGAACTATGTAGGCTTTTTCTTCTTTAAAAACTTTCCTACTTTGGTAATTAAAAACATTTTTGGAGAATAATGTTTGAATGACGTCTCTCTTTTCTGTAGGAACATCAGCACTCTCTTTCTCACATTAAAAAAAGAAACGTGTAGTTTGTTATATGGGCTGAAATCCAGTAAAAATTCATGACTAGAGTAGGCCCACTAGATCAGTGGGACTGACATAGGTGTTGACTCACCAAATCCTTACTGATTCAGTGGGTCTACTCTCATTGCAACTTAACTACTGGATTTCAGCCATGATGTAATTGTCTTGGTAGAGTGGTCCTCAGTGATAATGAACTGAAACTCCCAAATATGGCATGAGGGAGGAATTGCTGGATCCTGAAGACTCTGAGGACCAGGAGGCTGAACCCCAAAGAAAGCAGCACTGTGCCTAAGTGAGACAACGAGGCTCAATTACCTTCCAGTTTCCATTAACACCATTTTATAAAAGCATGAGCCTGGTTAAAACTCCATGGGCAAAGTATTTGGCTGGACTTCTTCTCTGGAGAAGATGCCTTCTCAAGAATAGGAGGGTGTCTTGGGGGAAGGCTGTTTTTCCCAGTGAGACCAGCATGTCCTTCAGCAGAAATTCCGGGTTAACTTGCTCTGCTGAGTTAATGCCTGCAGCTGAGTGCTAGGTGGGGCTCCAGCGGCACAGTTATATAGATTTTAGGCTTAGGTTGGTAGTTTTTGATTGTGTCTTCCATGCATCTTGTTGCTGGGGTTATTTTAAGATGAGGGGGACTTCCTGTAGTAGAAGGTGGGGCTCCTCTACTTTGTAATCATTGCTTAAAGAGGAAGATGACAGCACATTCTGTTTTTACTGCAAGCTTCATCTGCTTGCATTGTCCTGTTTCATTTGGTCACTCTTTGTGTGGACCAGCTTGACATTGCTTCTTGGAATCCTCTTGTTTGTGTCGGTGGCTTGATTTAGGTTTGCTTTTTGACTGTGGATTCACACTTCATTTACCTGACTCTCCAGTAGGTCTCTGATTGCTATTCCCCTGTGACTGGCCCACCCTGAGAGCAGGACAGTTGAACTCAAATACTTCCTTCAGTCAAACTACCTTGATTGTGGTAACAGCTTGTTTCCTCTGTTCTTTTTCTTCTAGACACGGAATATGGGAACTCAGCACCAAATAAAAGTGGATGTTCCTGACCATGTTCTATACACTGTAGGCTCTTGTGTTCTTGTAATCGGTTGTATTGGAATTGCAGGAAACCTCCTTGTCTTTTATGCATTTTACAGGTATGGCTTTCCGGGTTTGGGGTTTAAGAGAGATTTATATATGCATATTTCTTAAAAGGCAGGGAATCTACAGGTTTGGAGGTTTATCCAACCAGTACTCCCTGTTCTCACTGTACATGGAGGGAGATTAAGGAAACAGACTTAAGGAGTCTGGAAGGTCCTTATCTCACCCCACATAGAGATGAAAGCAGGAAAGCTGTAGCTGGAACTGCAAATGAACTTCCATAATTGCATGCTTAAATTCTGTTACTTGGTTTACATGTTGTATCAATCTTATTCTGCTTCTAAAACTGTTGGGAGGAAAAAATAATGACACTGTGTGAAAATAATTTGTAACCGCCAAGCAGGGAAAAACATCCTGAGAAATGCAGAGCAAAGCTCAAGAGCAGATTCAATATATAGACCCAAGTCTAAGTTGGATGAATGGATAGCCAATTTTCAGGGCAAAAACTGTTGTGCTACTTCATTACTCATTTTGACCATCTTCCTGGCCATCTTGCTTGATACACTTTAGAGCAGCATGATCTAAAGCTGGATCTTTTCTGCAGGGATTAACCCAAGAGATGGTACTGAGCATCTTTTGCTCTGCCACATGGTGGCTTTATGGCTTTGCTGGTGCCTTTACAAACTGTTGAAAGACGTCCTATGGGCCCTTTATTAAAATGTGATAAATAGGCAGATCTATCCATCTATTGTCATTGTTCCCATTGTCATCCATTTACTTATATCTTGTTTTCCTGCAAAGTTGTGCCAGGTAGTTCGTGACATAGACAACTAGAAGCCTTCTAATTTGAACTCCAGTTTGAATTTTAAAAGCCATCAGCAGATTTGCATTTAGCAAAATATCTGAGCAACTCAGTTTGCAAAGGCAATCTGGGATTAATAATTTTCTTTAAGTGGCCCTGATATAGCCTAGAGGTAAATGAGTACGGTATTAATGAACAGAATACCCTTTGCCTGATTATTGATTTGGATTTAATAGTAGTGCAAAATTAGGCATTAAGACAGCAAAAAATAAAAATCCAGAATATGAATGTTTGCCTTTCTCTTTTAGCTATTTATCTACTTGCATTTACACACTTTCAAACTGCTAGGTTGGTAGGAGCTGGGAGAATTGACAGGAGCTCACTCTGTCGCATGGATTCGATCTTACAACTGCAGGTCTTCTGACCTTGCAGCACAGAGGCTTCTGCAGTTTAACCTGCAGTGCCACCACGTCCCCGTGTGCTAGTAGTTAGTGTAAGACAACTCTCAGTAGCAATTTGCATTGTGTTTATGGACTTTTTTAAAATTGCGTTTTAGACTTTTTATAATGGCTGCAACCAACATTTTTGCTGCCTAGAAGTAGAATGGGGCTTGTTAATCACAACCAACTCAGTTCTCGTTGATTTCTTTAGGTCTGCTGGAAGTAAGATTAATTTTGGATTTAGACTAATCTATAGGAACAGCTGTTCTTTAGTTGTATATGTAGGATATCAGAGAAGAACAGTTACACAGTACAGGATTTTTATTTTGTTTTTAATACTAAATAAGTTCTGTGATCTCATGGAAAATGTAGGTCAAGATTTACTACTCCATTTTCTCCAGATATTCTTCCATTTGCGAAACAAAACTACACATTCCCACCTAAACCTGTTCTGAGTTCCACAAGGATGCTTGACTTTTACATGTAGTTATAGTGTTACATGACAGCATTAAATGTTATTTCTGAAAGACTTAGTGATTTCTGTATTTCTGGGATGTTATATTGTGACTGTGTGAAAAGCGGCTTTAAAAACAGTGAGAGAACGGTGTGAAGACATCCTTAGAGAATAAGGTAGATGCATATCACACATTTACCAAAATTCATTATCCAAGGAAGAAAAACGACAACGTGAGTTTAGGATTTTTTGAAATGTTATAACCAAAGGATATACTAGCTGAGGCAGATGTTGTAGCTGATGACTTGAAATTTGTTTGTAACTGGATTGTTTTTTTGGATAAGAAGGAGTTTATACTTGGTGCCCAGATATTCTGATGAACTTTCCATGAATATTGCCAGCAATTGTTTTGTGCCCTAGATGAACTGAATAGCTGAGTAATTCTACATGGATCAGTGAATATAAGTCAGATAATAATGACTTTTGGTCTTGCTAAACCGGGATAGCTTTGACCCAGTGACCTAAAGAAGCAGCAGTTAGATTGTACCATATTTTTCCATGTATAAAATGACACTTTTTTTACTTAAATAATTAGACGAAAATTTGAGGGTTGTTTTATACACGGAAGGCAGCTGCTTTCCCTGCCTTTTGCAAAGCCACAAAGTATAGCGGCTGTGAAAGGGTGGTACACTTGCACCCCTTTGACCCTGAAGCAGCCATGAAAGGGCTTCAGGATCAAAGGGGTGTCAGCGTGCAAATTTTCTAATTTGGGGGTTAGAAAAGGGGGCGTTGTCTTATAAACAGAAAAATGCTGTATATTTCTTACCTCTTGAGTCAATCTGTTTTGTCTTTAAGCCCCAAAGATAGCATATCATTCAAGCATCTTTAGAGCTGTGTCTCTTTTGTGGCGATATAGTGTGCTATGAAAGCACTATTGTGTTGTAAAACAGATATATAGTGGGTTGAAATGGTGTATAGTAAGAAAAGGTGATATGCTGTTATTTGCTTGAAGAGAGTACTAGAAACAAAACCACAGTAAGGCAGATTTTAAGGTTTTGGGGAGCTATTCATTTTCTTTCTTTTTTTTGTTTTTTGAATGAGACTTTGAAATTAATCAGTAGTTTTAGTGACAGTTACATGTTGCATGGTGTATTCGGTTGTGGCAGTTGTAGTAATTAGACATGGGCACAAAATGCTTCATCAAGCTTCAGCCCGATTCATACATTCCTTCCCCCAGCTGGTTGCCCCACTCACAAGCCTGTGCATGTTAGCCGGGGTGTCCCCCTGGGGCAGCTGTCCAGTCCAGGCAGGAGCCCAAGCTTCCCTTCCCCACCTCCTCCAGCAGCCAATCACTCAGCTAGGGAGGCAGGACAGAGATTCTTGATGTGCAGCCATTGATTTGTCAGCTGCTGGAGGAGAAAGGGAAGAGAAACCTGCGTTCCTGTTGGGACTGGACAGCCGCCCCAGGACGATAACCCAAGCAATGCACACAGGCTTGTGACTGGGGCAGCCAGCCAGGGAGAAGGGGAGAGAGAATGTGTGGCACCTATGAGGCCAAAGCATGACCAAGCACTTTGTTCCCATGTCTAGTAATCATGGAAATTTTCCTGCACTACTTCAACACAACTGGAACAGACTATGTATGCATCTACAACATAATTCTGTGATTTTTATTCCTCTTTTTCCCCCTTTTTAAACATATTATGGTATTTCCTGCTGTGTGCAGTTTTACACATGCAAAGATGTAATCTTTTAATTTGACTTTAGGCATGGAAGCATCATACCAGTGAAAAGCAGGACACCATTTTAACAAGCATGCTTTCTTTGTGTTACTAGAAATGGCTTGTTGCACATGTGCCTATATGTGCCAGATCAGTGATTCCCAACCTTGCATCACCCAGGTGTTTTTGGACGCTGAGTCCCAGAAACCCTGACCAGCACAGCTGTTTGTGAAAGTTTCTGGGAATTACAGTCCAAGTACGTCTGAGTTACACAAGGTTAGGAACCACTGTGTTAGATCATAACCTATAGGTGAAACACTGTGGAATTTTCTTTGATAGGGCAAATTTATATATTTCGCTACACTGAAACCAAGATAGAACTATTTAAGTGGTAGTCTCTTAGTATGCAATAGAGTTTATATAACATCACCGTTAGGATCATTTTCTTTCTATAAATGTCATGGGCAAATAATGTTCCAAACACCCACAGCGGGGCATCTATTATATGTATAAATTAATTTATAACTAATTTGGACACAGATAAAATAGCATCAGTTATTTTTGTTTCTGTACTGTTAGGTTTCATTGACTGTTTTAATTCTGAATGTCAGCAAGGGTGGGGAAGGAAGAAAAGTATGAAAATAAACTCAGAAGGATTCATTTGTTGACACATTGCAGTAAAAACTGATCATGTATATTTGCAGTTAGCAGATGCCAGGTATTAAGATCTTTGAGTCATCTCAATATGTGGTGGTACGAGCATTGTTTCTATGGCAGACATTTGTAGCCTGAAAGATATAAAAGTAGTCCGTAGTTCCCCCCAGACTGTCTAGAGAAGGTTCTTATCTGTCCCTAGCGATCAGCTATTTAAGGGCCAACTTAATAGAATGGAAGGAATCAAGAATGATCTCCCAACTGGGGATTTTGCACACTGAAAGTGGGAAGAAAATATTGCCATTTGTTATTCCCAAATATCTTTGACATTCTTATAAAACGAGGAGAAGCTAGTTGCATCATCATCATTATTTTTTTCTTTGCAGCCTTTAGTGCCAAAGATGTTTGTGTGCCTTTGGTTCTGCTAAACAGCTGGCAAATGCTAAAAATGTAGTTTAGAGGCTTGTTATAAACTGAATTACAATAAAAGAGAAACTAACAGAACACTTCATTTTTCTTTCCTGCTCTTCATGTTCTGATGATGCTCGTTAAGCAACAAGAGGCTGAGGACTCCACCGAACTATTTCATAATGAATTTAGCAGCAAGTGATTTCTTGATGTCTGCAACTCAGGCTCCCATATGCTTTCTCAACAGCATGCACAGAGAATGGGTCCTTGGAGATACAGGTATTTTTCCAATACTCTTTTGCGTACATGCCTCCCCAGTGGCTTGAAATTGTCTTCGGCATTGCTTTGCCTTATGTGGAGCATGACATGGATGTTGCTACCTATAATTAGTTTTTTCAGTCAAAGAAAGGCAAGACTGTACTCCCAGGACGTAGAGAATATAATGCTCTTTTTTCTATTATAAAATGCCCTACTTCAGGGGCTGGATAACATTAAACAAAATTCAATTACAGCGTAACAACCTTCTGGAGACAACATCACATTAATAAATTCATATACCCAGAATATATACAATCTTTTATTGTATTGTTTTGTTAATTAATGATACTCTTATTTAGAATGTCACACTAATATGTTAAAATTGGGATTGGTGGATATTAAAATAATATTTAATTTATTCTACAGTCAGGAATATTATCTATACATACTGTGTTTATTTAACTCTAATTAATTAAGTGAATGTACGAGTTCCTTTCATTATTTGCCTATCATTAGTTGCTATTATTCTGTTAAAGAAATATGTGTTCATAAACTTAGTTTTTTCTTCCTTCTACTTCCTTGAAATGCAAGGAGACAATAACTAGCCTTAAGAAAAATCCTAATTGTGAAAAATTATTAACAATTAATTATTATCATATTTTTCCATGTATAAGATGATACTTTAGACTAAAAACACACACACCCCACTTTTCAAACCCAAAATTTCTTTCTTTGCAAGAAAGTGGAGGGGGAAAGCGATTCCTTGCAAATGTTTTCCCCCTCCATGTTTTGCATTTTCTTTGCAAAACATGGAGGGGGAAAGCAGGGATCAAAGTGCTTTTTTTGCAGAATGTGGATGGGAAAAGCAGGAATTAAAGTGCTTTCTTTGCAAAACATGGAGGGGAAAAGCAGGGATCAAAGTGCTTTGATCCCTCCTCTGTTACTTCCGTGTATAAAATGACCCTCAATATTTCCTTTAATTATTTTAGGAAAAAGTGTCATTTTATACACGGAAAAATACGGAATTTTGCAATGTATATTCACTTTGCTATCTTTGAGAAAGGCAGACGTAACACGTTATAATTCACTTCCAATGTCTGCCCCGATAACGTCATCTATAGCAATCCAATACATGTTCAAATGTGCACACAATGTTACCCGGTGGTTCCCAACCTTGAGTCCCCCGATGTTCTTGAACTAAATTCCCAGAAGCCTTCACCTCTAGCTGTGCTGGCCAGGATTTCTGGGAGTTGTAGCTAAAGAACATATGGGGACCCAAAATTGGGAACCACCGACCTATCCCAAACCCACTTGCCAGAATACTTGTGTTCTTCTCCCCAACCGTTGCTTTTAGCACCTTAACAGGAGCAGGGCTATGAATTCTAGCTGAGCAATGCAACTGTCCTAAGGTTTGATATGTTATTCTATCCTTCATCAGTTCTTCGGTGCCTGCCAACTGATTTCTCCTTTGACTTCAGATTTTTTGTTTGTGTATGTGTCATTTTTTTCTTGAACCAGAACGGATTAATTGCATTTCAATGCATTCCAATGGGTGCTTCAAATTATGACCACTTTAAGTTATGACCATCTTCCTTAACCAATTAAGGCACCACTGTATTCTGGAAAGGTTTTTTGCCTACTTAGAGGGCTCACTGGACCATGTTAAAATCTGGAGTAACATGTTATCATTAACAGTGTTGCATGTTAAGAATTTACTTTTGGAGGATTAAGCATTTCTATCTGTTATTCAGTATAACAACTAGTAAAATCATTGTATTTTGAGGGGTATTTTGCTGTAGTTTTTTACTTTAGAAAAGCATGCTGTGCTATTCACAATTATCATTGTCAGCCGTACTTCCTGGAATAGCTTAAGAGTGGTGTATTTATCAGAGGTGCCAGTGAATTTATCAGCACTAAGAGACGTGGGGTTCATTTTCTTCTATTGCCTTCTATAGTAGTGATATTGCAAGTTCTGGTCTGAACTTTAAGCATTACAATGTGCCTGTGTATTGCATGTACTTGGTCTGTTCTAACCCTGTACCCATTTTAACCCTATTGTTAAATAATAGTACTGAACAGCACTGTTGAAAATGTATCCACTTTCTTCAAACTCAACACCATAGGTGACCTTAGCAAATTTCACCAGGTCTTTATTGTTCCAGTTAGATTCTGTAGGACTGAATCCAACTAGTCCTAATTAGAGTAGACACATTGTACCAGTGGGACTTGAATGGCGATTTTAACCAAGTCAATTTCTTCATTGGGTCTGTGCTGGTTGGAATGGAAAACTGGTTTTTGTCATGGCAGGTGGGGGTGGGTCCTGCTACACCCACTCTGCCTTACTACCCATTTATTTTCTAAGTGTAATTTATTTTCTTGGAGTAAACTGTGGTATTGGCTGCAAAAACCTGTCTGAAGTCTCAGCTCCCAGGACACTATTCTTATTGTGCTTTCAAGGAAGCTAAAAATCCATAAAGCCATGCACTAGGACACCAGTCTTACAATGTAGTATTGCTATCACACATACTTTAAACAAGCGTTTTCTCAGTAGGTAAGTTTGGATTTTGTAGTACCACTTGTCCTGAGTCAATACCTAAGCCTTGATAGGGAGAAGATTTGTATGTTTATTAAGGAAAAGCAAAAAAGGTAAGAAAGCAAGAGGCAAAAATAATTTTAAAATACAAAAAGGTTTTTTTTTTAAAAAGCAGTTTGAGACAAGTTTTGGGAATAACAAGAAGTCATAAAGGAAAATAGCAAAGCTAATTTCACTATCTAATACATAACTATTAATACAGGACAATGGTTCCCAACCTCTGGTCCCCGGATGTTTTTCGACTAAAGCTCCCAGAAGTTTTCACCACTTGCATCACTTGGGAACCACTGACATAGAGAACCACATAACTTCAGAGCATGCACAAAGTGCATCTTTAAGGAATTGCAACACAGGATAGCAGTTGAGCATAGCATCCTTGTATCAAGAAGGCTAAGCCGACGGATGTAACTTCTGTACGTTTCCATGCTGACAATCGGGCCCATTCTTCTCTGAAAACTGTGAAAAGGCAGATGCCGTTTCTCTCTCCCTCCTAACCTCCTAGCACATTACCAGACTGATCTGCTAGACTGACCTTTAGATGATTGTTCTTGGGAGATATGACACAGCTGGTTGCTGTTCTGATGCTGGGTGGAAATCTAACTACCATTTACGGTAGCTTCAAACTCAAGTCTGACTTTAGATGGTTTCCATGTCCTGCACTCCACTGCTTCACAGTTTCTTGACAGTTTGAGCATCGTCTTCATTTATTGCATAAACCTGTGAGAAACTGCTTGCTGCATCTTGCACATTTGAGAACAGTTTTCTACAACCTCTAAATAAATCATCCAGCCCCTCCTTTCGGTACTCTCTGGGAACAGAAGAATTACTATCTAGCATAGATGCATATCACTTCCCTTCTGAATTTTACTAGCCGATTGTTAGCTGCATCTCTTTAAAAATTATAATGGAATGCAAGAATCTCAGCATTTCTTAAATTTTTGACGTATCAGATTTAAAGAACAGGGTTTCATTTCCATCTTCAGAACAATAAATGCATGTTTTAAAAACATGTAAGGTCATTACACTAGGCAACATTCCAGGAAAAATGTAACTTTAATTGTATTGGATTTTCTTTGCGGCATTTTTCCATAAACAAAGCATGTTCAATTACAGGATACAGTAAGATATGGAACACTTTGCTGTTATGTATCTACAGTATAATAATAATCATGTGCTGTCAAGTCAATTCTGACTTATGACGATCCTTTTCATGGTTTCTCGGATAGAGAATATACAGAAGTTGGTACACCATTCCCTTCTTCTTTCGGGGTTGTCCTTGGATTGTGCAGCTTGCCCAAGGCCACACAGGCTGGTTTTTCTGGGATGCACAGGAGGAAAATTAACTCACATCCTCTGACTCTACAGGCAGATGCCTAACTCACAGAGCTATCCAGCCAGCTGTATGTATGTATATCTATACAGTCGTGCCCCGCTGGATGATTACCCCGCTCTACGACGAATCCGCTTTACGTTGATGTTTTTGCGATCACAAAATGATGTTTTAAATGGGTTTTTTTCGCTGTGCGATGATCAGTTCCTTGCTTCGGGAACCGATTTTCACTTTATGACGATCAGCAAACAGCTGATTGTCGGGTTTCAAAATGGCCACCAGCTGAAGAAAATGCCCCCCTGATGTTTTCTAGAATGGATTCCTCGCTTTACAGGCAC